GTCTCTTTTACAACGCGCAATGCACGTTGCCAAAAGTCGACACCTGTATGACATCATTGAACATCGCAACGAACGCTCAAACGCTGCGAAAGGGTTTTGGCAATGGTTTTTGACCGTTGCCGTAGGTCTTTTTTGTTGTAGTGTAAAATTCTAAGAAAAATGCTTTTGACATAACTATTTATATAATGTTTTATATGATGATGATATATCAAAATATAAGTAGAGAAGTTATTTGATTGATGAGATTTTGATCAAATTAAATCTCGCCATATTATCTGTTGATTACCGTTATGTAAATTGTTGTGTACAAGTAGCAAAATCCAAATTATAATGTGATTCAAATGTATTTTGTTTCATTTATTAATAATGCTTAAATAAACAAATTCATCCCATTCCTATTTTCACAAGAAAGAAATATCTTTTATAATTTTATTTAAGAAATGAAAGAAAAAGATAACGAAATTTATTTTTAATATTTTTACACTAATTTACACAGAAAATAATAATATTAATAACAAATCTCTCTCTCTCTCTCTCTCTCTCTCATGATAACAGAAAAATAGACGTCAATACCATTTCCAAACTTGATGCAATATACTCTGCCCCCGTGAAATTGCTGTCTCCAGAGAATAAGTCAATAATTTTGCACATCCATCCTACAGGATAACAACTTTATAAATTCCATGCTTCAATTAAAATTTCTGTTATAAAAACTTATGCCCATAAAAATATATGCATCGATCCGTTATGTTGCCTTTTTTCTTACATTTTATTATATGTTTAATGGGACCCATTATTTTTTTCCCCAAAGTAATGCTATCTAGAATCACGAATCTTGAAACACCAACTTAGGTGGTAATAAGAATTACTAAATGAAAATTGCAATTAAATGAATCACATAATTTCACATTCAATTGAATATATAACTCAATATTACATACATGAGTACTCTAGCACAACTAGTGCTAGATAGCATTATTATTATTACAAATACAAATCATGTAATTATATAATCGGTCTGAGAAGAGGAAACAATTAAAACATTATTTTGGAACCCTAAATAGCAAGCATGAACATAGTATATGTTACTCAAAAGACGGAAACTATTCTTTAAAATCGACGGTGAAATTACTGTCGAAATTTTGGCAGAGTTTTGCCCCCTTTCTTGAGTTCTTTGGGGTGTGTTTAATTGATTATGAACCAAATTGCTTATAGAAAGAAGAAGATGGAGTTTCGGGCTATTTTAGTTGCAAAATATCATTTAATCGGAGAATGTTAAAATTTTTGAGAGAATCGACCCTAATTTTATCTTGATCCTAATCGGCTTTTTTTAGAGAGTAGAAGTTTGGATATTAAATTTTTTTAACCTTTTTAGTTGTGTAAATGACTTAATGACCTAATTATAGTGTTTTCAAGTTATTTTGATCATTTTTATAAATTGACCTTCCTTCATCATGTTGGGAGTCTGACTAAGTCCAATTTCCAAGATTTAATTTAGCTTTTTGTTTTTGTGATATTTGTCGAGCAATTTGTTGCGTGCTCATATGAGTCTGTTGTGCTAAACTCTATGTTGATTGTGTTAGAATTTGTACTAATGTTTCTATCAATTTTCGAGACTTAGTCCAAGGCTTTTAGATCTTTAGTGCTATTAGCCAAGTATTATGACCATGCGTGCTTCATTGCCAAATGGTACTTTGACGGTCGAGTCTTTCGCTCCGACTGCATCCGGACAGTCGAGGTGCGAATATGCAAGGATACGTGGGCATGTAATGGACGCCTTTTTTCAGGCTGACGCGGAGTCTTGATAGACAATAATTATCTTAGTATGTAACAATATATTTATGTACCATACAATATCAGGTCCTACATGACTTCTGAGAACTGAAATGGTACGTAAGGATTTCTGATATTGCAAATAGCTGAGTCTCAGAGCCAGAAGTTAAATTGGGAACTTAGCAAAGTATATCACTGGCTAACTGAATTTGGGAATTTCAAAGTATATCACTTGGTTATTGATGAGGTAGATTGATGGGTTCAAACACTTTTTTCCTCACGATGACAGATGTTTTAAAGGAAAATGAACAATTTTAGGGTGTGTTTAAAATAGAGTAATGAATAATATTTTTTGGAGAATATGTGATTAAAAAGTAAAGTAATTTTATTGATTTGTATGTAGAATTTTTTATGAGCAGTGCTACGTCCCCGCTCTCACATCAGGGGTGGAGCCTCAGCTCGGCATTTTTAATGCGCGCAGGGCCCGCAAATCATGTGAGAGGGGGGACACAATTCTTTAGTCCTCCCTCGGTACAAATATCATTTCTTATATTTTATTTGGTGAATGTGTGTTGTAAAATTTTACTGTAACAAATAATTT